GGGGGGGGGGGGGGGGGGGGGGGGGGGGAGGCTGGATGGACAGATGGACGGGTGGGTGGAAGGACGGATGGGTGAGTGGACAGATGGATGGACAGATGGGTGGATGAATGGGTGGACAGATGGGTGAACGGGTGGAAGGACAGACAGGCGGATGGACGGATGGTGGGTGGGCAGATGGAGGGGTGGATGGACGGGTGGATGGACAGATGGACGGATGGGTGGACAGATGGACGGATGGGTGAATGGGTGGAAGGACAGACGGGCGGATGGACGGATGGGTGGAGGGATGGAGGGGTGGATGGGTGGCTGGATGGACAGATGGACGGACAGATGGGTGGATGAATGGGTGGACAGATGGGTGAACGGGTGGAAGGACAGACGGGCGAATGGACGGATGGTTGGATGGACAGATGGATGGGTGGATGGACGGTTGGATGGATGGACGGGTGGATGGACCGATGGACGGGTGGATGGACAGATGGGTGGGTGGATGGACAGATGGGTGAATGGGTGGAAGGACAGATGGATGGATGGTCAGATGGATGGACAGATGGGTGGAGAGATGGATGGATGGGTGGACAGATGGGTGGAGGGATGGAGGGGTGGATGGGCGGTTGGATGGACAGATGGACGGACAGATGGGTGGATGGATTGATGGATGGACAGGTGGATGAATGGACAGATGGATGGACAGATGGGTGAACGGGTGGAAGGACAGACGGGCGGATGGACGGATGGTTGGATGGGCAGATGGATGGGTGGAGGGATGGAGGGGTGGATGGACAGTGGGATGGATGGACGGGTGGATGGACCGATGGACAGACAGATGGATGGGTGGACAGATGGGTGGGTGAATGGGTGGATGGACAGATGGATGGATGGATGGACAGATGGGTGAATGGGTGGAAGGACAGATGGATGGATGGGCGGATGGATGGACAGATGGATGGATGGGTGGACAGATGGGTGGAGGGATGGAGGGGTGGGTGGACGGTTGGATGGATGGACGGACGGGTGGATGAATCAACGGACGGACAGATGGACGGACAGTCCCTGTGGGTGTCCCCAGGCGCGGAGCACGGCAGGATGCTGGCCGTGGGGACGTGGGTGCTGGCCGGCATCGTGGCCTTCCTGGTGGTGGAGAAGGGAGTCAGGCATCTGAAGGGCGGCCACGGCCACGGCCACGGGCACAGCCACGGTGAGAGGGGGCCACAAACAGCCCCACATTGGGGGGTGGGGGAAGGGTGGCCATGGTGAGAGGGGGCCACAAACGGCCCCAAA